TCTAAAAGCAGCATAGAGAGTAGTAAAGTGCATTGAGTTTAGGGTCATATTCCCTGGGTTCCAATGTAGCTCTTTGCTTACTAGCTGTGTGACCTTGGGTAAATTACCTAAACCCTCTGTACACAGTTTCTTTGTCTGTAAGCTGGGGATAACAATAGTGTTTAACTCATAAGATTGTTATGAGTGTTAAATGAATTATTACATATGCCTGGCACATTATAAACAATTAATTGCTAACTATTATTATTATTAATCTACATCTTAACTCTCTTCCCAGTTAACACAAATTCTTTAAATTCCGATCATCTCAAACTAATTTCCATGCTATTATTATCCTGTATTTTAGTTGTCTTTTTTTTAATCCCACAAATTAGATGTTTTATTATTATATTGTACAATGTTTGTTTAGACATACATATGTATCAGATTCTTTGCTCTCTATTCCTATTTACATCTCAAACCTTACTTCTTGGCTCATTTTCAGAAATTCTTTCTGTATTGGTCTATTGCTGGTAAATATCCTTAGGTTTTGTTTATCTGAAAATGACTGTATTTCAACTTTGGTCTTAAAAAAGAGTTTTGCTGAAACACAAGTTATTTTACTTCAGAACTTTGAATGTATCATGCCAATGTCTCTGGTATTTATGATCACTCTAGAAATTATTCCTTTTTAGGTGATACACTATTTCTCTCTGGTTAGTTCTTCTATCTTTGGTCCACACTTATACTATCATGCTTGAATTCACTTTTTATTTATCTTGCTTGATATCTATTGTGCTTCCTATATGTGTGGATTCATATCTTTCATTGTCTATGGAAAATTTTCAGCCATTTTCTACTCAAATATTGCCAATCTCTTATTCTGTTTCTCTACTGGAGCTCTGAGTAGACATATATAGCTTCTCTGTTGCTTAACCTCTTTGTCATTTTTTAACCCCTTGGCTTTCCGTATTTCGTTCTGGGTAATTTCTTTAAATCTGTCTTCTAGTTCACAACTTCTCTCTTCGGTTATACCTAATTTATATTTAATTTACACATCATATTTTAAATTTCAGTGATTATATTTTTCAATTCTAAGAATTTTTTCTTCAAATCTACCTGGTTATATCTAATGGACTCTTTATGTTGTTCATTTTTTAGATATCATCTTTATTTCTTTTACATATAAAACATGATTATTTTATATTCTGTATCTGGTAATTCCAATATCTAAAATCTGTGGGCCAGTAAATCTGTTGTTAATTTTCTGATTCTCTCTCATGGTTTGTTTATTTGTGTGTTTAGTAATTTTTAAATTGTGAATGCATACTTTGCTGAGCTTAATTGGTGAGATCTAAGTTAAAGATGCTTTCCTCCAGATATGGAGCTTGTGTAAAAACACAAGAGGTGTGTTCATATCTACCAGCTACCAAGGCCCTAGCAAGCTCTTTATTTCTTGGTTTGGAGTTTATTTGACCATATGAAGAGTGTAATTCCAGACTTAAGGGAGCTAGGTCCATGGGTTAAAAATTTCAGGGGGTGACTATTTCTTTTTCTTTCTTTTTTTCCACCCATCTAGAGCCAATGTGGAGACAGAGTTCTTGATAGGCTTCTTCTATTTGCTAGCATGACTATTTTTCCTGGGCCACACTTGTCTACAGTTGCAGCCATCTTCAAGTGTCCTGGTTTAGGGTGGGATTCTCAAATTTAGCTCATTCATTTCCAGTGGCCCAAAGAATAGTCTCCCATTCCCTACTCTGATATATGGATTTGCCTTCAGGCAATCCCAGTTTTTGCGTTTGCTTATATTTTACACTCAGTTTTCAGTTTACTCTTCTTCTTTTTTATGCCTTTGGGATTTCTCTTACTTTCTTGCAAGCTAAGCTGTGTATTAAAAATAAGCTTACTATAATTTATCCAAGATCTGGTAGTATTGCATAAGGAAGTCTTTTTTAGAGTATATGGTTCATACTGCTAGAAGCAGAAGCGAAGAGTAATCTTTTAAAAATGTAAAATAGTTTGCATCACTCTCCTCTTAAGACCCTCAAATGGCTTTTTCTCACACTTAAAAAATATACCAACCATCTTGGCCTACAAAGCCTTAAGCTCTTTCCTAGCTCAGCTCACATGACCCCCCCTTGCCTTGCTGTTCCTCCAGGTAGTGACCATATGCCTGTCTTAGAGCCTTTATATTAGTGTCTCTCCCTACGTGGAAGGTTCTTCCCCCTTTCTTCACATGGCTGGCTTGTTCTGGTCTCACTTTAAATGCTACCTTTTCATAGTGGCCTTCCTTGAGTAGCCTCCTTATTTCTCCATCACATCTGTGTGTTTTAATTCTGTCTAGGGCACCTATTATTAGGTGACATTTTCCCGTTTATTGTCTCTTTTTCTACCAGAACATAGGACTTCTAAGAGCAGGAACCTTGTTTATCTGGTTTACTACACTATCTTCTCAGGATTTAGAACAGTTCCTGGCACACAGTAGGGACTCAATACATATTTGTTGAATGACTAGAACTGACTAGTGGCTACTTATTCTCTTTAGACAGGACCCAGGCTCACCGGTGCTCCACAGTGCCCACCACTTCCTATTGTCTTCCCAACCCAGCTTGCTTTGCTTTGTTAATTTACTTATCTACCGGGCCTCTGTAGGCATTTGAGTTTTCAATCCCTGCTCATAATGTTACTCTAATTCAGCATTTTGAGAGCAGAGGCTGTGTTTTATGTTTCTTTTCTTCCTTCAATGTCTTGCATTTAGTAGGAGGGAAAGAAATTAACATTCATTGAATATCTCCTACCTGTCAAGCACAACACACATAATTTAATTTATAGCCCCACAACACTATGGGGCCACGTATTATTATTTGTGTCCATTTTATAGATGAGGACACTGAGGCTTAGAGTTGTTCAGAGTCATATAGTAAATGAAGGATCTGGCATTTGAATCCACCTAGACAACACCTACTCAATAAGAACTATTGCAAAAGTGTTGCTCATGTCTGAGAAACAGGTGGCTGTTTTCAATTTGCAAAGTGGAGATTGAGCAATTAATTGGTATTTCAGGTCAAGTTTTACTTGAAGAGTCTAGCTATTTACTTATAAATTTCATTCCACTGAGTATACAAAGATTTAGCTTGAGGTATGTCTATATTTGGCTAGAAGCCTTGGAGATGGTAATCATGCCTTTCACATGAGGGTCCTACATATCTAATAAATGTCTGCTGTTGGCAAATATTATGAAATCTGACAGCAAGGAGATTTTCTGAAGATAGTTATTTAGTCAACTATCACCTGTCTCCGGGTCACCTGACAAAGAAAGACACTGAATGCACCGAATGTGTGCCATACCACCAAGCAATCTTTTAAACAAAATCTTATTTTTATTTCATTTTTTACAGAAATTCAGATATTCCAACAAATTTCTTTACATTTTCTGGGCCTTAAAAAAATTACACACAACTTTTGGACACAATACAACAGAACAGAATGAGAAAGGGAGTCACTTTTTTTCTTTAAAAAAAGATAAAAACATACTTCTTATACTTAATTAACATTTAGTGATTTACATGTGTATTACCTATGTACAAATGGTACATTGTCAATGACCCATCTTCAGAGCACTGTGATATGCTAAATTACATTTAAGTTTTATGGAAAAAACTTTAAAAAATATTTGTATGTGGATAGGAAGCACTTTTTCATTTTCGTAAACACCACTACTGTGATGTAGGACTCCCAATGGAATCTGCAATTTACATGAATTAGAGAAAGCCAATACCTTCTATTTTTATTGTAGATAAAGTAGAGAGATAGCTCCCTTTAAATAAGAGATGAATTCTTGAAAAGTTGTGTGTAATTAAATTTAGTAAGTAGCATGTTTTGAATGCAGTGGGAGAGCTAATATTTAAAGCAACAAATAACTCCCAGAATGGCTAATATTTTAGAGACAATGAGTATTCCCTTAATTTGGTTCTTTAGAAGATCCGTATCTTTGTGAATTGCCTTTCACTCATTTGAGCATACCGTAACATACTTTTAGCCATATGAAACATAATCTCATTTATGGTGAAATGATGGCTAGTACCAGAAACATTGGCAAAAATAGGAGTGTGGTCCTAAAAGAGAGAGGGTAAGAGAAATCAACTATGATCTGTATCACTTCTTCTATTATCCTCCATCTGGTGTTCCAGTGATATATGCTAATTTGATCTTAATTTTGAGTGTAAAAATGGAGGCATTCTACACGTCCATGTTTTCTGGTCAGGTGTAGAACATGGTTTGGCTGACACTGATTACCCTGCATGTACACTTTTAGCTTGCTTTCATTCTCAAGCAACTGGCTACTTCAATATTAAATATTTTTTGGGGGGCGAGCCCAGTGGTGTAGCGGTTAAATGCACGCGCTCCGCTGCAGCGGCCCGGGGTTCCGATCCCGGGTGCGCACCGATGGACCACTTGTCAAGCCATGCTGTGGTGGTGTCCCATATAAAATGGAGGAAGATGGGCACAGATGTTAGCCCAGGGCCAATCTTCCTCAGCAAAAAGAGGAGGATTGGCGACAGATGTTAGCTCATGGCTGATCTTCCTCCCAAAAAAAAAAAAAAATTTTCTTTTGTTGCATATTGGCAGGATATGTGTGGAGGCTGAGGGTGGGGGAAGCCTGGGAGCAAAAGGCTGTTGAAGACAATTGGTCAGGTGTAACTACTTCCAAATGCCAACCAACTAAAAAAAATTTGAGTATTTTTGAAACCAACATTAGTAAACAAAAAGGCAACATACTCCTACCAAGTTTCTTTGACCTGTATAAGTATATATTCATTTATTTCTAAGGCTATTATTATTTATTTTGTTAATACCACTTACTATCATTTAGAAATAAGTTTAATGGATTTTTTTTTTTTAACAAAAATGACTGCCTGTCAGTAAGGGAAAGAAAGGATATGGATTTCTGATGACATGTATGGCAAAGAAATAGGAAAAAAAAGGGAGATATTTTGGATGCCTATTTATAAAGTATATTACACTCCTATGCGTATACTAGGGAGAATTAGAAAAAGTGTTTGATAGCAGCCTATATATTACATGTGAGCATCCAAGGTGAAAATGAGCTTTCTGTATTTTTCACAGTTCCTTGATGCTGTCTCCTGAAAGATAAGGAAATCTATGTTGCTGGGGAACCTATGATGTACTTCCTGTAATATACAGCTTGATGGAGGATTAGTATATGTCAGAAACACTTTCTCAGTAACAACTTGTACAGACAGATTAAACTGAACACAGACTCGGTAAAAAGATTGAATTGTTACATCTCTTAACTGAGTGGTTGTGACTAATTACACAGTGAAATAAATGAACGGCAGAGATGGGGAACCAAAGGTCCTGGCTCCTATGAAAATATTCAGAGGCATTTTCTAAGACGCTTCTCAGTAAATGATGCTTGATCAGCCTCTTGGCTATTGAGATAGGAATAATTTAGGATTGACTGCCTTTTTTAAAATAATGTTGAAAGATTAAAGCTTTTTGTTATCAATTTGATTAAAAAAGGACAGTTTACAAACCTCAGTACATATATATTTTACATGTTAATTCCAGCACATTTATATTCCTCTTCCTTAAAATATTTCCCGAATGTGATTTCTCATGAATGTTATATGATCTTATTCAGCGATAGTTTCCAATGAGCTGGTGTTTAATCCATGGTGGCATCTCCTTCCAGAAAATCACTCCCATCTCTGCCGATCTGGATTGGGAAGGTGCTTTGACAAGTAGATGTTCGCTCTCGTCCATCTCCATCTCTGTACTCCGATCTCTCCCAAGCGTCTTCCTCCTTGATGTTGATGTACAAAAGCTGTTATTCAATTTGTTTAGCTGTTACTTGATTTGTTTTGTGCTCATTCTAGAGAATATTGGCTTAGCAGAACTGCAGAAGGGGGTGGGGGAGAGAAAGAGAAAAGGGAGAAAAAAATGCATCATTTTGTCAGCAAGATTTTTGTGCACATTTGTCACAGAAAAACCAGACCAACAAATGGTTCAAATGCACTTTTTCAAAGTGCATTTGTTATCAAAGAAGCCTGAAAGTTTGAGGTTTCTATTCCATTAGACAAACAGCACAGTCTTCCAGGCAAGGGGGCCTCCTACAACCCAGACATGCTATTCTGGGTGAAGATTACAGGCTGCTTTAAAGGAGCAAGGAAGGATGTAGAAGGATCCCAAGCATTGCTGATTTTTCTGCCTGGCATAGAAAATATCTCACTTGAGTGTTTTCCTTTTCCTTCCAATTTTTATTTATTTATTATACAATCAACAGCGTAACAGCTACAAGAGAAATGATTATAAAGGTGAATCAGCCACAATCCAATCACCTTGAGACACCAATTGTTTTCTTCCTATGTTTCTTTCCATTCCTTAGCTAAATGTGCACTGGTTTTATACAGTTGGAATCACAGTATAGATGACATTTTAAACATTATATTTAAAACAATATTCTACATTTTCACTCTCTGCATTGTCAGCCTCAATTTCTCTCTTTTTTTTTTTAAAGATTTTATTTATTTATTTATTTATTTTCCCCTCCAAAGCCCCAGTAGATAGTTGT